TATCCTTGCTGCGTAATGAACGCGTACATGTCTAAATGACTAGATGCCTAATATTTGAACGTCTACATACATGATATATGGCGGTCCAAGTGCATTCAAGTTGTGATACATACCTATGCGGCCGACACACAGTCGCCAGTGGCCACATGGGAACCGCAGAACCTCTTCACTTCGTGTCGCGTCAATACACCTTCCTTCGCGTACGTCAATCAATCAATCAATCGATCTATCTATCTATCTATCTATCTATCTATCTTTCTATCTATCAAAAACTATGTATTTAGCATTTGAAGGTGTTTGCCCAGCATGCAGAATGGCCTCAATACGTCTGAATGAAGTCATTGCGTGTTGATTGTACAAAATGGACCCGATTTGGCTTTGAACTCCCGACCGAGGGGCTGTAGCCTGTACCTAATGTACCTTTATGTTTTCAGGTGTGTAGGTACCGTGACAGTATGTACTGTATACATATGTGGCAGGCCGCAGTGCCCCTCACAGGGCCCCTCATCAGCGCTCACAGGTGACAGGGCCTTGCAAGTTGCAGCGGCGTCGCGGGGTCACTAGGACCGCTCACCCGCCACACGACGGGACGGGTTGGTGCAAGAAAAAACACGAGCCGAGCGTCGACGTGAAAAGCATCTGCCCGCCCTTTGTGCTTCTTCCGCTTTGCCCTCCTTCTTCCCTCCATCCCCAGCCCGACAGCACAACGGCATCGCCGCCGACGCCGCCGATTTCCGCCCTCCTGGGTGCTTGCCACTTCTGTCTGTACTCTCGTCTCCCTGTTCATCTGTACGTCTGTTCATCGCATTTCTCTTCTTCACCTCCGTGTTGCATCTGCCTGTCTGGCCATCGACACGGTCGCCGTTTTCACACGGGTCGCCCTGTTTCAGAAGAAACCGCCCCTCGACCGGCTCATTGCTGTCGTTGCCGTCGCCCCTTCATCAGGATCTGCAAAGATCATTGAGAGCAAGTCTGCTTTGAATTGGTCCTTGCATCCTCCGTTTCGCTGCCTCCGGACCTGAAGCTCATTCCTGGTTCTGGGTGCTGTCGACGTTGTGCCTGCCCCGCTCTTCATACGAACCGGAACAAAGAAGCGACAAAACAACCAGTGAGGTCGTCAACTCATTGTCTTTTTAGGTCTGTTCGAGAAGTGAATTGCCGCACAGGCGAGTAACTACAACTCAGCCGCTTTCCTATCGCCACGATAAATAAACGCGGAAAACCGACAAGAAATATCATCGGGGCACAACAGCAAGACCTTTGCATTTGCACGAGCATACAACGATAGTATACTCAGCTCACAGGCATCCCAGGTTGACTGCAAAAAAAAAAAAAAAGATTCGAGACCCTGTGACTTTGACTAGCCATGGCGTCTCCTTTGCAGTTTGCGTATCGAACGCAGAAGACCATTGGCATCTTTGATGCCGCACCGGTCTACCAACCCCTCGCTGGTTTCGCGAAACCCGAGGGAAACTTACGCTGCAGCGCTTACTCGCCCTGTGGCCGCTTTTTCGGCTGGGCGACCCCCGAATTCGTCACCGTTGTCGACACTTCTGCCGGCAGCGTCGTGCTGGTGCTACCCCTCATCAATGTCTACGAGCTCGGTTTTTCGCCGTGTGGCACCTTCGTCATCACGTGGGAACGGCCTGGAAAGGATGAGGCCGGAGATGCCACCAAAAACCTCAAAGTCTGGCGCACTGTGGAAGAGGGCGTCGCTGGCGGCGACAAGCAGCCCATCGGCCGATATGTACAAAAGCAACAGGGTGGCTGGAACCTCCAATACACTGCTGACGAGAAGTACTGTGCACGACTGGTCACCAACGAGGTTCAATTTTTCGAGAGCCACGACCTTGTTACTGTCTGGAACAAGTTGAGGGTCGAGGGTGCGGCCAGCTTTGCACTGGCGCCTGGAAGCCAGAATCATGCTGTGGCTGTGTTTATCCCAGAGAAAAAGGTAAGCCAGATCAACACCGTTCCTTTTCCTCGGAACGCAATCATCTTTTGGGCCCCGTGCACAACCACGCAACACACAAATTTTAAGATGAGTCACGATCTACTATTTACTGACGGGAACCTTCTTCGGATTACAGGGCCAACCAGCAGCTGTCAAGGTGTTCAACGTCCCCTTGTTTCAGAATCCCATTTCGCAAAAGACTTTTTTTAAGGGCGACAAGGTTCAATTCAAGTGGAACAAGCGCGGGTCTTCCCTGCTTGTCCTTGCGCAGACGGACGTCGACAGATCTGGGAAAAGCTACTACGGTGAGACTACACTGTATCTTCTCAGCACCAATGGAGCATTCGATGCGCGCGTGACCCTTGACAAGGAGGGCCCCATTCACGACGTATCGTGGTCGCCCAACTCGCGAGAGTTCGGAGTGGTGTACGGCTACATGCCAGCCAAGGCCACAATCTTCAATGATCGGGCTGTCGCGAAGCATTCGTTCCCTCTTGGGCCACGCAATACCATTACGTTCGCGCCCAGCGCCCGCTTTGTTCTTGTTGCCGGCTTTGGCAACTTGGCCGGCCAGATTGACATTTTCGACCTGGAGAAGGACTACCGCAAAGTTTGCACCATTGAAAGCGGCAATCCCAGTGTGTGCGAGTGGAGCCCTGACAGCCGATACCTCTTGACGGCGACAACGTCCCCTCGTCTCCGAGTCGACAACGGAGTGAAACTTTGGCACGTTGGTGGTAGCATCATGTACAATGAAGACATGGTGGAGTTGTACAACGTCGTGTGGCGTCCTGCGGCCCCTGAGAACGTGGCCGGCGGAGATCCGCTCAATCCAGTGCCCACGCCTCATGCGTCGGCCACGACGTACCTGGGCACGGTGAAGACACCGAGCAAACCCGCCGGGGCCTATCGCCCGCCTGGGGCTCGTGGTCTCGCCACGCCCCTCCACTTCAAGCGTGAGGACGAAGGTGGTGCTGCTCATGTGGTGAGCAACGGTACACAGAATGTCGGACCCAATGGCTTTGGCCGACCTCGCCGCGGCGTGCCTGGGGCCGAGCCGGCTGAGCCGTCTACTGGACCCAGAAGCGTGCCTGGGGCCGAACCGGTCGGAGAAGATGGCAACAAGAAGACCAAGAAGAAGCGAGGCAAGAAGAACAACAACCAGGATGCTCGTCTCGAGGCCGAGCCCAATGGCGGTGCGACCCTTACCCCGTACGATAACAGCAGCGGCAATGGCAATAGCACCACCGGACGAAGCCCTGAAAGACGAGGCCCTGCTAATGGCAATGGCCGTGATCATCGGAGCAGATCGCAAAACAACACAGGCAGCCGCAGCCGCAGCAACACTCAACATGGTCAGCGCTCTAACGGAAATGCCAACCACAGTAATGGTGCTGCTCAGTCGACGGTTGTAGCTGTCCCTCCTCCTGTCGTGGATGCCGCCCAGGTGGCCGCTCTGGCCGCCGCCCAGATCGCCAACGCCAAGAAGGTTCGCAGTCTTCAGAAAAAGATTCGCGCCATTGAGGATCTGGAGATGCGACTCGCTGGTGGCGAAAAGCTCGAGGACACACAGATCAAGAAGATGAGCACTAAGAATGCCGTGCTGAGGGAGCTCGCGACGTTGGAAAAGGACAACTAAATTTCTGTCTCTCCTATGAAATCAGGAACTCTTGCTTGTTTGCAGCGTCGTTTCAGTTTGCATTGCACACGAGAGTTGCGAATCTACCCATCGGGCCAGATCATGGCGTTAGAATCAGCCGAGAAGACGAGGGAAATAAACAGGAGGATTTTGTTGTGGAAGAGGGAGATTATTTACGGGTGACTGGGAAGCGAACCCGTCTGCATGACATGGAAGCCTTTAATGGATGGGACCCGATGCACGCTGGATACGCCGCACGCGCGTGCGCTCGCACAATGTTTGTGCTGAGGGCGGTTGTTAATAGAAGAGACCTCTTTTGGAATAAAAATGCGGAGCGTTATCGCTTGCGGCTGGCTTTCACCGACTGCCTGCGGACCCGAGGATGAATCTCTCGCCGGGTGTCTAGGTGTCTGGGCGTTTGCCCCTTTGGTGATTCTCGAGAGGCTGTGTATTCATTTTGGGTTGACTCACAAACACGCAGACGGTGGATAGGGTGTGATTTTACATAATTGTATCACAAGGCAAGATGGGGTCGGGACGGGACGTCAGGTTGAAGATGGAACGCGGAAGGCAGGGCGATGGAAAAAGACAATGCGAAAAGTTGAACTTACATAATTGTTTACTATTCTGCAAATGGCAAAATGATGCGAAAACTTGTCTTGAGAAACACCATTCGACCTTTAAACACATGTACTGACCCCGCAGCACACAGTTGAGGAGTATGTATGTACATACAATTAATCACTTGAGTCGAGACTCGAGGTGTCCTGGGTCCTCACAACTTCAAGCCATCCACAAGAACTTGGTGGGTTCTAGGCCTGGGGCTGCTCTGGAGGATAGGGGACTCAGGTGCCTCAGAGAGACGAGGCAGTTCACTAAATAGGGATGAGATGAGTCCGATGGAGGTGCAAAGCGGTGGATGGATATCGACGAGGATGTCATGATAGGTAATCATGGGCTTCTGTACTTATGATGATTGATAACCTCGCAATCGCCAGTCAGGCAAAGGTTTCAGATTGAACTGAGATATGTAATCACTAAATTTGTGTTATCGATTGAGACCGCTGGGCGACTTGTGCTTTGTTTACTGAGAGTTCTGTTTTAGGTAGTTATTCGAATGATCATAAATGCCCCAGTCAGCTTCAAATGATCTCATGAAGCGACCAATGAGTGGACGCTCGCTTAAGAGCTCGCCAGCAAAAACAGGTCGATGATGATGTACACAAGTACCATGCACTGTAGCCTCGCAACGTCCAACTTGGCTCTCAGGAGAGAACTATCGCCAATCCGATGTGATGCAAATCGTCGCTGCATCCAAGATTCCGAGGAAGACGACGCTGATTTTTGAGTGTCACAATATATAGGCTAATAGTTCTCAGGCCCCCAACATCGCATCGAGAATTCGGTGCCCGGTTAGCTCAATCGGTAGAGCGTGAGACTCTTACGAGCGTATACAATCTCAAGGTTGCGGGTTCGACCCCCGCATCGGGCTATTCCTATAACACAGATTGGTACATCTTTTTTTGCGTTCCTTCGCTCCTTGACTTTTGCCTTTTGTGCGAATGCAATTTTTTCTTCTTCTTTTGTGGTTTGCATCATTGCGTTACTGTGTGTTTCCATTGCTGAATCGGTGAATCTGGTTTATGCGATTTGCATGCCAATCCTCATGTAGAGTAGATCGCGTCACGTTGACTCGCAAATACACTTATGTACTTCAGATCGCGAAGTATATGGGGATCTTGGTGTAAAAGAAAGGGGTAATGCAATAAACCACGCCTACTCTTCTTGCATAAATTCCTTGAGATGCGCTGTTCAAGTCTAGATAACCTTCTATTGTATCTCTACACAACCTTCCATTCTATTCGTGCAAAGCCCTCCATTTCATTTCTACACACTTTCCATTGTGCTCACACATGACCTTCCCTCGTAAACATATTTGCTGTGGCCGGCCGTCGGACCAAATGAAAGCCAGTGAACAACCCTGTTCCCAGAAAACGCTACATACATACCTAAACAAAACGCCATCTATATACAATCTGTAGACTGTACCCATGCAAAGCCGGTCATGACTTTTCTCCACTTAACTTTCCCCCATCAACCGCGTCGGTCTCCATCGCAGCAGCACGAGCCCGCCGCGCTCTCCTCTCCGTCCTGGCCAGCCCATCGGCCCTCTTCGCATCGAGGTGCTCCTGATACTCCCGAAGCTGCCGAATGGTCTTGCTCCTAGCGCGGATGCGGCCGCCATACCGCCAAAAGACAAATGGAATCGGAATGAGGGCCACCTCGAGCAGACCGAGCACCGTTCCCGCCCACTGCGGCGAGAGCGCAGAATACATCTTGGGCCCCGCAAGCGGCAGCGTACCACCAAAGATACTCCTGATGACGGCGTTGCCGGCGAGGGCACTCGCGGCGTAGATGCCATACGCTCCGGCGAGGTAATTGGACCCATAGATGAAGCTGATGGTGTTACCGCCGCCAAAGGGGATGCCAAACGCGATGGGTACGGCCCAGTGGATCGTTGATGGGAGGCAGGTCCACGCGAAGCCAAGCTGGCCGATGGCGGTGGAGATGGCGCCGATGGCCATGATAGAGGCCTGCGCCTCGGGATATGGCTTGCCTGTGGTGGGATCCATGGGCTGAGCGTGGATGATGCGCCGGAAGAGCGGCTCAGCTACGATGGCCGTGAGGGTGCCGATGCCGATGCCGATGAAGGAGAGGCTGGAGGCGCCGGGGGCCCAGCCGCGGTGTTGTGAAAAGACGACGGGGTATGCTATGAAGCAGAGATAGAGGATGCCATACACAACGGAGATCCTAGAGAGAGAGGGTAAGTAATTGGCAAGGGACGAGCCTCCTTGCTCGTGGCTTCCACGCACATACATATACATATGTGTATGATCGGACCACCAAGCCTACAGACAGGATCTTACCAGAAATTCATAAACCACAAGATCGGCTCCGTTACGAAGAGCACAAACGGCCGGCTAAGATTCACCTTGAGCAAGCGCGCCGTAGACACCTTCTGGTCGTAACGACACCAGTACCGGGCATCATCCGTCTGCTTCCTCATCCGCGCAGCCTTGCGCTGCAGAATCTTGGGCGCATACGTCTCCCGAACGGTCAGCATGAGAGAAATGGCGAGCCCGGCTATGATGAGGACGATCCAATTGGTCCACCGCCAGCCGAAGTACTGGAAGACGAAGCCGCCGATGATGGGGCCCGTGACGGGTCCGTTGAGAGGGGCCAAAGCAAAGAGAGACAGGCTCCTGGCGAGGTAGTCTGGGTTGGAGACGTCGACGACGGTTCCAGGCGCATTGGAGATCATGACGGCGCCGAAGAATGCGCTGTTATATTGTTAGTGTCTTGGTGAGAGCAAGAGTGGAAAACAAAGCTTTGGAATAAGGAGAGACTGTGACAGATACGTGACAACATAAGAAGGTGACAGTACACAGAGAATGCAAAGAGAACAAAAGCACAACTATACCAACCCGATAAATCGAACAACGATGATCGTCGTCAGGGACTTCGCAAGTCCGCAAGGCACAATGAGGACTGCCCACAACAGCAAACACACAATATACACCTTCTGACGACCATAGAGCTCACTCAGCGGCGCAACCACCAAGCTCCCGGCCGCCAGACCCAGTAGATACGTCGTCATGCCTAGCGTGACAAGCGTCTTGGACGCGCCAAATTCCGCCATGAGACCAGACATCGACGACGTATAGCTCGTGCTATACAATGTGGCAGCCCATGTCGCGAAGGAGACGCAGAAGATGACCCAGCATCGGTACCAAAGCGCCCAATTCAAGGGATTTTCCGGGTCGTTGTCCGAAAAGTCCACCTCGAACTCGGGCTGTCGCGAGGCAATGCTGCCGATGCTTGAGTCTGTGCGGATGTAGGCAACGGGCTCGCGAGCCATGCGCTCGGCGTCGGTTTCGACATTGGACGTGAGGCAGTGGGAGGCGACTGTTCTGATGGGCTCGAGATGCGGTCCGTTGATGCTGGCGCTGGTGCCAGTCAAGGTGCTGGTGGAGGACGGAAATGACGATGATGATGATGACGACGGTGGCGGTCGGACGACATGAGTATTAGACTCGTCATGCGAAGCCTTTTCGGGATCCTGTGCCATTTCCTGCGTCGTGTTTCGATGTTGCGCTTGCTTAGCCCGTCCTGACAGCATACAAGCCGATGAATCTCGCTCATTTCAGTAGGTAGTTGAAGAAAAATCTGCACAAAGAGAAGACTATGAATCGAAACAAAGAAGGCGTCTCGGCTGAGCCCGGCCCACGGCCACGTTTCATGGCATGTTTACTCCGTTGGTATATAGTACTCCGTGTGAGGCCGATGCCGGAAAGATGAGCGAAAAGGTATGTATGTAATTTGGAGTGAGCCGGGAGGGGCCAAACGGGGGCGCGGGAGCTAGAACTAATTTCGGGTATTAACAATTTCAATAGGTACATATTCTTTTCACTTTCTTATTCTCGGACACTACATATGTTTGAGTTTTCATGTGATTCAAAGGCGCAAAGCGTGGATTCTGGAACTGGCTCGTTTGTAAGAGCGACGGCGAGTTACAGCAGCCCGCGGTACTGTGGCCAAGAACTGGCCTGGATAAATAAGACTCGATACGGATGTTCTTTCCCTTGCCATTAATTCATGAGTATCTTCGTTTCTTCATGTCTATAATGAAATAGTACAAAATTCCAGATAGATACAGAGAAGGATGATGGTCAGAGAGATAGACCATCGCTGCTGGACTGGGTATATTGAGCGCAGACGAAGAACGGGGTCTTGTCATGAATCATGACTTGAGGGAGTTGTAGGTGCGGGCATTCCTGGATGGCGACGGTCTGTTTCCGAGTGGTGGCAGCAGCCGTGGTGCAATCGGCAACCCTGCCACCGGTTTCGAAGAAGGAAAAGTAGCATTTAGGTTGGTATGCTTGTAAGTTGTGTGTGGCGCGAGTGAGGTTTTCAAACAAATAGCGGAAGGCCGATGGGGGAACCTCGCGCCGCTTCGGAAGAGCAGTTGGGCCGGAAGTCCCGCTGCGGCGCTGCCAGTTCAGTTACATACGGCGGCGTTGGCGCATCACGTGCATCGCCGGAGCGCAGTTAGTTGTTGCACGTGATGCGCAATAGGGTAGGCAGAGTTTCGTACACACAATACCACACTCCAGTTCACTCGTGAGAGGCCATTTGCTGATGATACCTATGTATCTGTTCCCCCGTGTTTTAAAAAGGTTACAGAAAACAAAATGATGACGAAATACACACACATTACACGATACGTTGTAGGCGCAACCCCAGCTGCATTCTAATGTTTGCATGCTTTGCTCCGCGCACTTCGCGATAACGGGTTCTCGAATAGGAAATCTTGTCCGGGATGGGCCTCCCCCTTATTATCCATATGGTCTGATTATCTGATATCTACCATTTTGAGACTCGAGACTCGAGAGAGAGCTTGTCCGTCAGCCGTCGGGATGAGCCCAACGCCGTTTGGAGGCGTAAGCTGTAACTCAGACGTTGGTCGGTGGCAAAAACAGAGAAAAAGAATGAAATGAGAAAAAGCATTCTCTTTATCGTGCGTCGTGGGCATGAATTTCCTTTCTCCACGCCTCCTAGAGTCCTAGGTATAACCAACCAATTGGCGCGTCCCTTTTTGCCACTCACTCACTCGTGTGCCGCGTTGCGAGGCTGATGATGCCCTCCCCGCGCGCCGTTGGAGCGGGGGCTCAGGAAGCGAGAGGTACTAGGTACATAGCGGAAGTCGTCCGATGGAGGCGAATCAACAAGCCACGTCACCAGCCACGTCTCGCTGCGACGCGTCCAGCACGTAGGTACATGTACCTACTCCGTACCTAGGTATCCCTGCTCGGGACTCGGGAGTCATCTGTTCAGCTGCACAGCCACAACGCCACAGCGGCCCGACATTTCATTTCCATTACATAGGTACCTAGGTACATGTATGTACATAGGTACCTGTTGTGTTTTTACCGTTCTAGACTTTGTTTCCACCATGTCGTCATCTTGCCATCTTGTTGCGGCCGCTGGTGCGCGATCGCCATAACCACAACGCGTATTATTATTAGAGTTGACTGAACTGACGCGGCCAACGGGCGAGGCCTCTCGCGGAGCCATGACGCAAAATGTACACCACAGCATGACACAGCATCCATGTATACACACGAATATGCATTCAGCTGCCTCAACACTGGCTTGGCAGTTCGGATTTAATCTGTATCAAGCGTTTTGCTTCGAAAGATCAGAGCGATCAGCGTTGGTATGTATGTATTCGATTTTCGTTTCGGTCCCCTTCTTTGAAGTGGACCACGACTTAAAAGAAGTTGCGCCGCGCGCGACACCAGCCACAGTGGCGCGGGGCGTCGTTAGGGTTCCGAGCTTTTCATTCGATCCAGCTTCCCCTCTGAGTACATGGCGCAACAGCGTGTGGCGTCCCTTGTGAAATGAACTTCGCACAACTTGCGGAGAGCGATA